TTAACATTAATTATTTTCCGTAACACAGAAATGAATGTTCTTGTTTATATAGAGAAGAATTCAGCCCATCCAAACCTTAACTCTCGAATAACGTACATGGACGCCGCCTTGTTGCATGTTGCTTGTAATAACCGGTTGTTTGTTCCCGGCGTTCGAGCGGCCGACCCACGAACAAAAAATCGAGCTGCTCGTGAATATACGGGAACAAGTCACCCGAACTCAGCCCACGAGTATCGAAATGTGACGTCACTGTGAACCAGAAAGTGCAGTGCAAACGAATGGAGTACGCGCGCGTGTTGGTTCACGCGCCCCCTCTCTCGCTAATGCCTTTTACACACTAATTGTGCGCGTGACGTATTCACTTCGGTACTCCGTAGAGCTATTGTACAAAAACTAGAGTGCTTACTCATGTGCAAAGTGATGCCCAACCTCGACTCCAAGGGCTGCATTCTCGTTCCTTCGCTAGCCTGGTCGTGTAGAGAACGAAAATGACGCTGACTGGCTTATCAGGATGAATATGTGTGAACGTGAAGTGAATCGCACGAGTATTTCGTTTAAGACCCTGGTCAAGCACATGATTATGTATTTCCTTATTATCATCGAGCTCAATCAGAGGCATGATTTTGCTGTTACATGGCTACATTTTTGGCTGACCCGTCTCGGGAAAATGCGCCCTGCACGAGAACGGTAGTTCGATTTTTTGCAAAAAATGGGGTCAAAATGGAGTTCCTTTAAAAACTCAGAAATGTCTAAGGGGGACAGATTCCGCTCCAGGGGCTCTTTTAGGGTTTAGACATCAAATCCACAACCTTCTGCTAACGATAGCATGAATGAGGCGTCTGGAACACTCGACTATAACAAGAACGACTCTGTCTGATGGTCGCGGTTGGTTCGCCGGGCTCGAAACCAAGGTCGTAGCTGTAACCTGCACGGAATTTGCATCAGGACAAGGGGCATTTGAACACCAGGTACAATTTCCAGAGCATCGGCAGTCATAAAGTGGTCTGCGAATAACTACTAGTCTGGATCGATCTCCACGGTCCTGCAAATCTTTCTGTAATCACCCATTTCAGACAGGTGTTCTAGAGTAGCGCCGAACAAAACAGAATTAAGAGCAACTCGGGTCGACCCAATTAATTTTTGGTTTCAGACAGACGAACTTAATACATACATTTGCATAGGGTTCTGCTTATGAAATTTAAAAAAGAGCGACAAACCCGTATCACCCTGAATGCCGATTTGAGCGCCTCAAGGTGTCAGTCTTTCGCCAGCTAGCACGCCTGTATCCTAATTGTTTCAGGCGTCGCACTTTTGCCGTTCTTATTTCAAAATTTATTTTAAAGGGGTTGGATGCGACTCTAGAACGCCTGTTTGAAACGGTGTCAATCTAGCGTTGTTCAAACACCTGACTTCGGTCCACCTGCTTAACAGTCCCAGCACAAAAATGTACACAGACACTTTCATGTTTGTAAGGAAAAAAAATGGCTTTATAATGCACGATTGTCACGTATTCATAATCTTCTCCGTGACTGTGTCCGTAAAAGAAAGTATTTCGAAAATTTAAAATTCTTTCATGGTTAGTATGATAAGAGTTCCACATACGGACATCATTGATTTTCCCTCAGTAGCAGTTCATTAGCCGTCAGAGAGTGATAACCAGTCCTAAAATGTAGCACTGAAAATGTTCAACCAGTCATACTTCAAAAACATAATTTTGCAGACTAGTCAGTTTGTACACAGGGTGTCAAAATGACGTCAAGATATGGAACTCTTTCCACCTATAAAATGATACACAAAAATCCCCAAAATTCGATTAAAAAAAAAAATGAAGTCAGTTACAAGGCTTACCTGATCAGACTCTTTCCTTTCTGCGAGAAACGGCCTAAGTATATAATTTCCCAGTCTGGAAAGCGGGCAACAATTCGAAATGACATCATAATTCTTTCGCTCAGTGGTGAGAGGCAATTGGGGAGATCTCGTACCCGACTAGATCATAATATGGCTAGGTACAGTTCAACACTTGTAATTCTGAACCGCTTGGATGGTGTATATGTGTGCCGGCGTTATTTTTACTGGCCTGGATGTGCGCGAACAAGCGTAGCGGCACCCGGTAACCATTCGCGGGCTGGCTTATAGCAGTGTTGCCCTTTGTTCAATCCTTCAGAGTATATCTTTTCCTCCCTGCTGTCCCGACAGACTGATCCTTAGGTCGGTAAACTTGCCGTCACGTACGCCGGCTGGTACTTTTCACCCCTCTTTCATAATTTTTAAAAGGCTATCTTTTACTACCCCCGTAGCATTAGATGTACAATGCATTGCCAACTGAAAATTGACACATGTGCAAACTTGTCAAGTTGCACACAGTAAGCTTGAACTATGGCAAGTCGATTATCACTGGCTTGGAATTTGAGACCATTTAGATGCAATCGATTCGCAATTATATTTCCTAAAATACGGAATTCCTGCATTGCATTCCACCCAGTTGAATCGTCCATTCACCAACAAAAATTAGTTGAGAGCGCCAGCTACAACTTTTTGTTTTGTTTCCTGAAAACACACAAAAAATGTACAACTCACAGAGGGTTAATTAACGTACAGCGGTTGTGTTTAGACTAAAACTGGTAAAAAAAATAACGCTTGTCGTAAGCCATTTGGTTCATAAGATTTTGTAGTATATGACAAATATCTGGGTGTAAAATGGCAAAGAAATAGAGATACAAGCTTGTACTTCCTCTTCCTTAAGCAGCAATATAAAATAATTATACACTTTTTACACTGAAAAAATACAATGCAGCTAGCTGTTTCAATGATTACAGTTGCAAAAGTTTTCGTTGAGGATTTGCGCGAGACAGAAACAGATCAGATTGCGCAGTGTGACGCAGTTGAGGGCGCACTTCACCCGCGGGGTTTTCGATAAGCTTCGGTGAACGTGCAGCTAGTTGCAACGAAGCGAAGCTTTTCTCACTGTGCGTACAGGGCGTTTATAAGCAAATTATTAGTACTACTGTGCAGCATCGTACTATTTCAAACGATGTTTTCAAAATAGCCGACTTTCAAGTTTTGGAAATTATCGTTCCTTATGCGTGAGTCAGGGAACCTCCTAGGTATTCATATGGTAATGCCGTCACGCTTGGGCAGGTACCCCAGTGCACAGCGGTACGTCGTTTTGTTATGGGTGTTCCCCTCGCTCTATTGGTTAGTATTTGGTCAAGTGGTGTTTGTTCATCATGCATGTGTAGGTGTTCGCTTCATAATGCTGTGTCAGTTTTGAAGCGATCGAAGCACCAAGAAAGGATGAAACCTGTTTGAAGGAATATTCGAAGAAACTGAAGGGCGGACATGACGCGACGGGGGATTATGTTCAGCTTGTCGACAGCACTGTGTAGCTGTTAGTCGTTGACAGAAATTGTGTGAGTACAATTTCGTACTTTTTGTAGATCATGTAACGGCCTAGGCCAGCCCTCATCGATCACCTGCTGGTGCCCCAGTTGTTGCATGCGGCGTGGCGGTAGGATCCATGCATGCAGTAGGCTTACAATAAACATGCATGACATGAATACATGTACATGTATGTCCAAACCATGCTGCCGTTGCGTTGTACAAAACTCAACCACTGTCAACCTTGGATGCTGACTTGGCAACTGATCCTTCACCGGTTGCAGTTGCATGGTGATGGTGGTATCCTCCGTTTGGTAGTATTTCTTACACTTCTGGTTGTGTACAAAGGAAAAAAGAGTAAAAGTAGACGAAGGCCAAGGAATTCTGAAAAAAATTTAGTTGTAAGAAAAGTTCCTCAGTTGAAAGTTAATTACATGTTTTCTTTGGGGGCTTTTAATCTTATATTGTAACTCATTTAGTGTTCTGGTGACCGTGATATGTTGAGGATTATCAGATGAAAAGGGATATTGGAGGATTATGTTAATTTCTCCCCTTGACGTAACCAAATATCAAACCATAACAGAAAGAGTTCTATACCCGCTCCAAGGGGAACAAAAGAGGGCGTGGTTTTTTTGGGTACTCACCGCATAGGCGCGCCACGAGGCATGCAAATATTTGATGCTGAGTACGCATAACTAATATACTCCAGCATGTATGGTCTTTGCGTACGCGCAGAACGCATGCAGGAACCCACTTGTAACTAGCTGTCTTTCTTTTCACCGATTGGGGGTGCACTTAAGCTCTGAGCGGATACAGACGCTGCTTGACACCCTGGGCACAAACCCTATGAGACTGGTCTGAAAAATTCGAAGTGTTTTCTAAGTAAACAACTTGGTTTCTTCCCTCCTAAATTGAACTTTTCTTGACATGTTTTTGCTTTCAGTGACGGCTAATGGGTCACTATAGGGAGGAATTACTGGCGTCCGATTATGGAACTCCTTCCCATTTAACGTTTTTAATGAGAAAGGAACAACGAAAACATTGATGGAACAGATTTTTTCCATTTTGAACTCCCCTCTCCCAAAAAACCCTGATTATTTTAGTAGTTGCTTTAGCAAAGAATTTTAATTTGCACTAGGAAACCAAAATATTGAAGGCATTTTGAAATAATACTTCAATCGTTGCTACAAAATGACAACATATTTTTACGTATAATGTGGAACCAAGTGCTGAAACTACAATGGTTGTGTAAATTTATAAAGCTCATACACAAGGCATCTTTTCATTTTTAGGTGGGGTGGGGCTTATGGGTCGGCCTATGAATGGCTGATGCCTGATGGTCTCAACCTACCCCCCCACCTCCCCACTTTGAAATCGTTGTGCCGCCGTTGCATCTTTCCCGCATCGCTTGGGTAAAAGTTACATTGTGGAGGTTAGAGTAAGAAAGCAAACGAAACTTGGCTGGTTCTCAGAAAGAATTCCATGTACGGACGCCGCATTGTGTAGGTTACAGAGTGTAAGAAAGCAAATAAAATTTGGCTCTTTCTCAAAAAGAATTCCATTTACGGACGCCGCTTGACACGGCTCTTTCTCAGAAAAAATTCCATTTCTGGACGCCGCTTGGCACCTTGTGCACAAACCTTATGAGACTTGTCTGAAAAATTTGGAGGAGTCTCCTCTCTTCTCAACTTTTCAGCTTTTTTTTTTTGGGTAAGAAGTAGTCACTTTCAACGGGATAAAAACTTTGGTTCCTAGCATGTTCATGTACCTGTCATATGCACAGTCATGAATGCATGTGACTGAGACAGCATACATGTACGTGTATGGTATATGGCCGTCACAGGTTGACATGAACCGCAACCTTGGTTGCATTGAACTCGATGCATTATCCCTGAACTGCCTGCGAAAGTGACAATTTATTTAATCTCCAATATTTACCCTTCTCTCTGTTGACTTTTTCACAAAAATTCCCCAACCCCCTCAGGATGCTTGCAGTGGGCGCACGTGTGGGTGCAGTCCAGCATTCCTGAGTGTCAAAAAATCCTTGGAGTCTCTTTTGTGGAGAGGCTGTCCATATTGACGGTTGACAAAAGGGGTTTTTTGTGATCGGTAAATGGAAATCGAAAACCATTCTGGTGTTCAGGTTTTGTGGTTCCATTGTTGGATTGAGACTGTATTGTGCAGTCAAGCCAGTAACCGACGATGGTGACTACAAGGGATTTTTTAAGTGCATACTATTCTCACCGTGCTTTACGTAAACATTGTCGGTTGTGCATTTGCATGCATGTGGATTAAATGCAGTGTTTCAGCATTTGCGAGACATACTTTGGAAATACATGTATATTGTAAAGCAATTATGTCAGCACTTCCTATATTTTTTTGGAGAAAGTTGATTCATCGCTGTTGTGGTTCTCTCCTCGCCTTCCACCTCTGCAGTCCGGGTTCAATAGCCAGCTCGTTCCACATGTGGATTGGGTTTTCAGTCCCAACCTGATTCCGTGGGTTTTACCCAGAATATTCCTCTGGGGTTATCCTCCCACCTCTAAAACTATAACTGCTTCTCATTGACTCATCGCCATAGAGGTTTTTTCAGGCTTGCAAGCTACAGAACCCATAGGGCGTTTTTGAGGAATCCTTGGTGTCATCGCAATCAATAAATACTAATCACAGTCTCTTTATTGTAATTTTGTATCTCACTTTTTAATAATGCCGTTTCAAGCAGGCAGCACAAACCACATTTTGCAGGTTGCATACGTGGGATGAATTTGCCCACATCTGTTGCAAATTTCAAGGAATTAATCAATAATTTTCAATCCAGAATGCCGGAGTGCTATGAGTTGTGGATTTACGTGTACATCAAACATAAATGCGTCAGTTGGGGTCCAATTTTGTGTGTGTCCCTGTTGCATCTGACGTACGGTTTTGTAAGATCGGATTGTTACCTTTAATTTCCAAGAGTAATGAATTAATGCAAATTACCCGTCAAACAAATAGCAATAATTAGAAATCAATTTCAGCAGGGTGTTTCCATGTCAAGTTACATGGGTCAGGTGTAACAGGGACAGAAAATGCCACTCTTTTGGATCCGGGATTTATAGAATGACCCAAATGCACATTGCGTTGTACAGATATGTACAGTACATGTACACACTGAATGAGCACACAGTGTGTTCCTTTACCAAAGTACACTGTAGAAGACAGACAACTAATTGAAACAGATGCAGTTGCAGTTTTGAGATCAATGTAGACTTTTTAAACTTCGTTGTCAGATGCACAGAGTTTCACTAGTGCACATTCATAAATACATCAAATATTTTGTAAAATGAACTTCTGTGGAATTACTCATGCAGGTTTTGCTCTTAAATACCTGCAAGTTTAGATTTAAATTGCTCAAGGAAACGGCCAACGTCCACTCAACTTTTATAAATTTACATCATTTGTTTTCCCTCTCTCTACAGGTGAAGCCGAATCTCTGTCACCATGGTAACAACACTAGAAAGACGCCAAATGCATCGAGGGTTGCAACGATCCAGATGTTGCAGCCACATTGTCAACATCGTTCTCTTGGTACAGAAACTTTCTTGCCCCCTATTTTTATGCAAAAGTTACAGCGTCGGGGTTTGTAGTAAAATATTCGTGCTGCGCTGTCCCTTTAAAAAAAAGTGGACGCATTTTAAAAGAGACATAAAAGTGTTTATTTGAGAAGAAACGGGGAAGTTTTAAGTTTTTTGTGCCCCCCAAAGATCCTTGCCTCCTTCAGAATTCTCAAACTGCCCCGCTGATGAGCCGCGGCATTCTTATCGTCCAATCAGGTCACGGCGCTGGGAGCCATCGGGGTCAGCGTCTGGATCTTCCTGTCGGTCTGGTCTCACCCAGCCCGTGAGGGCACCCTCCACGTCCTTGGCATCTCCTACTTGGTCAGCAACATCGTCCCCGCGGCCCTGGGGGTGGTAGTCATCCTGGTCACGATCGTGGGGGTGTGCGGCTTGTGCGCGACACATCGCTGCACCCTGTTGTGGGTGAGTTTTTTTTCCGGGGCAGGGGGGATCTCGAATTATGGTGTTGCCTCCACCCCTGGCTTCATCTTTGGCGTAAGAATTGAGAGCAGACTTATCTGAGGAGATGCTGCACGCATAACTGCAACAGGGCTGAGATTTTTTCGAAATAATCTCTTGAAAACTGGAAACTCGTGAGTCGGCTGTGAGGTGTTTCACAAATAGAAGTTGACACAGAGTACCAGAAATGGTTAGTCTGAGGGGCGTCTTTAGGGAAACACAACTGGACACATAGACTCTACCCTCCTGTTGGACTCTTAAAAACCTCTGGATATTATTTTGTGGATATTTCATTTTTCCTCCTGCGCCCGCGCATGCTCCGAGATGTGCATTTGGGCAAAAGATGTCAGAAAATCAAGACGTCACGCTTTGTTTACCTATGCCTTTTCCTGTAGGAGCTGGATGCTTTTTGTGTCCAAACTCATGGCCATCAGAAAAGCGCACATTGTGAACAAAGCATGACGTCATTATGTTTCAATTCTATTTTGGGCGCCCAATTTGTCAAAGAGATATTTGACATTCGTATACCGCCTGTGCCCTGGTGGTTCTTCTCGCTCTCTGTTTCTGATGGAGCCTTGATCCACTTTGCACTGGTGATGAAAGTATGGAGGGCCTTGTGCAACAGCATTCAAACATTTCAGTTTTAACAACAATTGGATGTCAAGTGAACTGTCTGAATTGGATTTTCAAAGTAGCATTTCATCCATGACATTTGCCTGGAAAGTTTCTGATCCATTGTAAACTTTCTTGTCTTACAGTATTTTATTTTGCTGATGGTGGCGTTTGTTCTTACGATTGCCGGATCAATTTACAATTTTATCTTTTATTTTGAGGTGAGTGCTTACAGCTTTTTTGATGTCTACATTTTTTCCATTTGAAGTCTTGGTAAAATTCCTCAATCTGTTGGCCAAGACCCAATCAAAATCAAAGCATTATGATATATTTTCTGGAGTTGATAACACTTGGAAGTTCTCAGGGAAAAATTTTAACTACTTGTAGAAATTTTATGGCAGTTTTGTTCCATGCTTTCTTCAGTCTGTCCTATTCCGTTGTTTCAATATTCTAATGCAAGTTGTTTTTTGGCAGGAAATAAGGTTTTATCCTCTTGGAACTTACCATTGATAAACTCTTTGATCTCACACTCTATCTGTTGACCGTATTTACTAAGGATCAATCATTTTTTTCCCCAGCTTAAAAGCAATATTGAAAGCAGTTTGTCCAGAGGGGTCAACGAGGAGTACGGACTTTACGGGTTTGAAGAGATTACAAAGAGCGTCGACTCAGTTCAGATAGAGGTACGTACCTGTACGTGCAGAGCAGACGAAATAAATGCTGCAGTGAGTGCCCGGCATGGCACTGCATTTGGTGTATGCGGTACCTGCTGAGGGCGCCACATAGCTTTGCAGTGAAAGCCACATTGGGCATTCATTAAGGCCATGTTTCAATCTGTACGCTAAGGTTGGAAATGAAGACTGTGGAGAGATTGGTGCCGGGCAAAGGGGTAATGTCGAGGTTCGTTCAGCGTGCTCTGACAGTCATCCAGTGACGTGCGAAGAAAGTGCAAAGAATTTTGCTGTTGGTTTCCAGCAGAGCCTGAATTTATTTGCATTTTCAAAACGTGCCCCTCGCAAAATTTGGCCCGGGGTCGGGCATTCAAGGGGAGAAGAGAATAAGATAGATGGCAATCTCGTCTTTTTTTTTTTTTATATGCGGCGGCGCAGTTTGAGTGCTGCGGTAGTCTGTCTTACAGGGAATGGCGGACCAGCGAGTGGCATCGGTACGAGGGACTGCGGCATTTTACCGAGGCTGACGTGCCCACCGTCCCACCTTCCTGCTGCGTCATGACGGCCAACGGCAACATGTCGGAGCCGGTCGACTTGATGAAGTGCTCCTCGCTGCAGTCCACCTACCCCAACGAATTCATGTACAGCGAGGTAAATCAGCCAAAAGCTCTTTAAGCCCGTAGTCGTATCACAGATAGAGGCTTGTATAGCCCCCCCTCTCCTAATGGAATTTTTCTCTATCCAGCCTGGCTCTCGTTCAGTGCATTTGGCAAGAAGTTTCAAACCACGAGGGCGTCTTAGTCTGTAGGTGCGTAGTCCGAGCATGATTACTGAAGCAGAACCCCACATTTTTGGAAGAATTGGTTTCTGTTCAAAGTCTCCATTGGTGCACTCTATACAGTTGAACCTTGTGAAGATCTGTTCATACCAGATCCTGCTTATAACAAGGACAGTTTTAGGTTCCAGTTCTTTGTTCTTCCTTCCTGATGAATATTATAAGGTTCCTGTTATAACAAGGTCATTTGCCAAGTCTGAAGGACTTCTTATTAACAAGCTTTGACTGTATATATTACGTAAAATCTCAGTCGTGAAAATATGAAATACATCACTGTCACCAAGAATTGATGGGCCTTGTCAGCATCTTTCTTCTAGAGCTTGGTTGCATTCAAGAGAAGCCTCGGCATTCTCTCAGGAATTTTCTTTTCTCTCCACAGAGCTGCGCTGAGTTGATCTACTCCTGGCTGGGCCTATTCGCTTTAATCTTGGCCGTAGCATGCGCAGTGCTCTTCGTTATTGAGGTAGGAAATATTTCAAACAAACCAAATACATGCTGCCTTACCCCACCCCGAAACCCATCCACTATTTCAGACAAAAAGTTGAGAGTACAGGGGATTCGCCGCCAAGAAGTTACCACAGAGAGGCCATCGTTCAAATTTTTCAGTCGACAAAAACATTGCTGACGCACAGCAATTTGCATTTGAGCGAATGTTAGAAGACAACTTGAGAAAATTTTTTTAAACAATCGGGGTATTCCTTGCTTCACAAAAAACCCACCTTTTTGTTTAAGAAACACGTTTGAATCTGCAACCCAGAGAGACAATCAGTTGGAATAATTTCAGAGTGGAATAGAACAGATGGGACTTTGTGGACTGTTTCCCCAGCAGTGCCCTGCGAAACAGGACTCTCTGCGGCAACGTCTTGGTGGCGCACTGCGTAGTGAATCATCTATATTGAAGCAAACACTTTCCAACTCCCGACTAAAAAGTTTCATTCCTCTGAGAAAAAACAGACAGTTAGACCATTACCTTTTTCGTCCAAACAAAAGTGGACGACAGTTCCTCTGACCTCTTGGCAGATTACTAAAAAATTGACGATATCTGGCTATATTTTATGCATCTAATTTCAACTTCTGAGCAGGCACGCCCAGATGGAAAATATGTGTTAGTTTTAGAGAAAGAGTGATATTGTTTTCTTCGGTTCGTCACAGTTAATCACGGTTGCAGCGTGCGCAGTTTTGTTCCGGTGTCTGGGCCCCGTCCACTATGAGGAGCAGAAAATCCTACATCGGCTGAAGGGCTACCCCGACTGGGACAAGCGGGAACGACACGCCCATTCCACCAGACCTGCCCACTCCACCAAGGTGTAAAAGAACACAGTTTCCCTCGTCGGAGGGATCGGACGCACTGTCCGCATGTGCGTGACATGGACACAAAAGTTGGAGTCGGAGGCTTTTTTTTTTTTTTTTTTTGCGCACGTCTGATGTGGTGCGGCCTCTGATGACTGCGACTTGCGATTCAGCGCGCGTCACTTTCCAGTGGTGTAACGGCACAGGCGGGATTTTGTCCCAGACCCATTGACCGCGTTTTGCCAGCTTAACAGAGGAATCGCAGTTGCTCTCCAGATAAAAACCGTGACATGACGCACCCTGCTTTCTGCCTGCGGGTTCAAGGCCCGGGACTAGTAAACCTGCGCCGCACCCTTGTGAGCGTCGGCTCGCAGAGTGAGCCAAGAACAGTTCCCGACAGTACAGGAGAGCTGCTTTATATGCTGACAAGCCACAGACTGAAAAAGTTGCTGATCATCAGTCACGGAACCAGGCTAGAGTACACTGTACGATTTCACCACCGGTTACCTGTAGCCTCTTTTTATGCTGAGCAGTGGCGGTGACCAATAGGAAACTGTTTAAAGAAATACACGCGGAGGTTGTAGTCGCATCTGAATTTGCTGTCCAGAGTGAGGTCATTAAGGCCTTTGCTCCATCGGACAAACGCGGAGATGAACCGACAGTAGATGTAACCGTTGCTAGGGAAGCCCATTTTGGACACGGCCTTAAAGGAGACGCACCTTGGACTGCAGTTCTTTGAGTTTTTTGTGAGGACATCCTTCCTGATACGGATCTGATCAGGAGGCACCGATGAACAGTTCCACGCAAGGCGCACCTGCACTGCGTCATACCCTCCCTGTGAGCTCAGCGCCTGACATCAAAGCATCAACCTTCGGACGGAAATCCCTTCAGCCAAGGTGGACAAATGCCTTGCTGTTCTTCAAAAGATTGAGCTGCCGAGCTAGCCGATGAGTAGTGTTTACCAGGAATTTTTTCAAACAGTACCATTTGTGACATTTCAATATGTATACATCTTTTTATACCAAATATTTCAAAGTAGTCTTTGGTGCTGGGAAAGTGTAATTACCGTCGTAACAGTACCATGTTCATATCAAGTATTGTACACTTTTTTACCCAATATATCCAACTTGAAAATCTTTGATGCTGCAAAAAAGTGTTTGTTTTCTCCTTTGAATATTTGGGAAAATGTAAATCTCACCCTTACACTGTGCCTTGTGTGATATTTCAGTCGTCATACATTTTTATAGCATATATATATCTTTTCAAATTTCCAATCTTTGGTGGTGGGTAAATGTATGTCTCACACTTTGAATGTATGATAAATATTTTCAGTTCTACAAATTTGTAAATAATATTTTGCCCAAATTGCTGTATTTATATTGAAGTTTACAGGTCTAGTCATTTTTTCTTTGCACAAATTTCTTACATCAGCTCTTATCTTCAAGCAAACCTGAATTCTCAATTCTGATTGGTCAATCCATGGCAACAGACAATGTGACATACGACTGCATTGCACAGTTCCTATCAAGCCCTGTGTAATACGCTATTCTTACTCAACATATTGCGCTGTTTTTACTTTAAAAGTATAACGCACAGCTACAAAGTTTAATGTAAATTCAAAGGTGGTGCGTTTGTTGGGGTGTTTGTTTGTTGGGGTGTTTGTTTGTTTGTTTGTTTATTCTGCGTCACGTTTGCTTGAATATAAATTCAATATCACACAGAAAAATGTAGTGCATCTGTGTCTCATATACCACTCGGCCTTCAGCCTCGTGGTAACAGGGTATAGACATTATTCTGTGTACCACTCGCACTCATGATTACTAATATTGATACATTTATTCTGATGAACCTGCGGTCTCTAAAATCAAAGTGGAAAATCTAGACTCCCTTTTTTTCCAGCATTTTCTCCACGGTGGCGACTTTTAATTCCTTGATTGTTTTAGATTTAGAGCCAGGTTTCTTCTCTGACAAAGTTCAGAGTCATCAAAAATGTGGGATTTGGGCTCAGTAATATTTTTGTAGTGCTAGGAAAATGTCTCCTGGAATTTCATTCAGGAAACTTTGTCAGTTTTTCGTAGATATTTCTCAAGACCGGGATGAAATGTATAAGGGCCACATTTCTGTGTCTCCATCCATTTTGAGTAATAGAGTTTAATTATTTTGTGGTATTTTTATATGAAAAGGATCTGTCGGTACCAGGGTATGTAATTTTTCGATGCAGTTTTTAAAGTGCTAATTTTTGGGTTGTCTTAATTTCCAATGTACTTAAGAAATGTCTATTTTGTCAATTAATAGATATAAATTGAGCTTTTAGATGTATATTTTGGGCATATTTTAGACTGTGTACATGAAAACCTCAGCTGGTTAATATTCCTGGAATATTTTTTTATATCTTAGTATTACAGTTGTGGAGATACATACTTGGAAGTATTTTAGTGTTAAAGTAATCTTCAAGGGATCGTGAGGGTAGGTTGGTATTAATTGAAATATTGGCTGGGGAACACTAAACCTTGTTTGGAAAGCCCTCGTTTGGAATGATGGAGTTAGTGTGCAGAATCTTGGTTAGAATAACCGTTATTGTGAAGCTATTTGGCACAACCAGCTGGGACACTGCTTTTCTCTTTCACTGTGAGCGGTTTTCGGTGTACGTGAACTTGTGTCCAGATTTTTCTCTAGGCCTACACTGACCTGCAACGTCAGAAGTAACCATTTCTGTTGTGGCAGGCGTAAAACGCGCAACCGCTGCTCGCCGTGTCTTTGGTCTGTTACACTTATTTGAGAAATGCCAGCTTTCCGAGTGGAACTTTTTTATTGATTATTCTGTCTGTCATGCTGACTTGAGCAAACTTCTGTTCAAGTGCACATCATTGTCGCATTGATCCTTGCTGCGGATTTTCCTACAGTTTGATCGTGCATGACTGAGTCATCTACTCAGGACTACAGCAATTTACAAATTTGTCAGGATTTACCATAAGCACATTATGTATTGTTCAGAGAGAGGCTGCACTGGCGTGTATTGTTCAGGGTGAGGCTGCACTGGCTAATTTTTTTTGGCTGATTGAATGGTATCATAGGTTATAGATTAGTACTGGGACTAATGACATGAAAGTAATAAAAATGTACATTACCTTTTAACTTTCACTTGAAGATTCTGGTTTGGGTCCATCAATGAGTTGAATCCCTACATCTAGAGAACATGTCTGGCCTGTAACTAGGTTTTTGTGGGGGGGAGTCCTCAAAGCGGACCAAGCATAGATCTTTTCCTTTTTTATTTTGAAAAACAGCAGGATTCATGGGCCTGCCAGTATTGTTCATTTTGGTGTTGGTTGATTAGTTTGGGGGGAGGCGTTGATGGCCTGTTGGGCCATAAATGCTTCCAGCTTCCGTCTCATTAGGAGGAGCATCATGCTTCATCTGAATTTCGGTCACTCCTTAGGTACCAGTTAAGGTTGACTTTGGACTTCCTTGGAATACTGCCTCTGGTGGATGTGGGGGCAGGGTTTTAACCCCTACTTCGGGAGGCTGCCAGAAGATAAAAAGAGGCAATTACAACATAGTGCCCTTCTAACCACTTTGGGAGCCCCCCGCCCCCGGGCTAATCCTAGAGCCACTCCAAATAGGCACCCGTGCCTCAACAGCTAGGCACGCCTTCAGACGTAGACACTGAGCCGGGGTGTCTTTAAACTGGGAAAACAGTTTAGCGCCCTCAATAATTTTTTTTTTTACTGTAACTGGACGCCCCTATGAGCGTAATAGTATCGCCCAATTAATTATTTTCATCTGCAGTGCAGCGGCATGAGAGAGCGCGTCTCGTCGATCGAGGCGATTGACAGCAATTCATCAAACCTGTCACAGGGATAAATGTTCCTTTTTCATCTAGGACATACAATTCTGATGCGGTAAGTAACATATTAATTCTTAATTTCCTTTACTGAGAAAACAGATTTCCGTTTGTGCTTGAAATGAACGGTCTTCGGTTGGAATCACAGTCGTGCGCGGAGAAGAGCGAGCTTTTTTTTCGTGGCATGAGGTTCAGATGTTTGTTTTCTTCACCGAGGATGCGTACCGCGCTGTCTGCCAATTGACAGGGGACAAAAGCGAGTCTACTCTCGGTTGGCTTCTCAACCATTCCCGGTGCTGGAATCGTTTCAGGATTAAACATCGCCTCCCGCTGCTTCCAACCGTCCTCACACGCCGTGACTAAAGAGGAAATTCTAATCATTTCTTTCTGTAGGGTACAATTTACATTCTACATGTACGACCTACTTAAGAGTTATTGGTGTGTGGTAACGGTACTGTGCGCATGCCCTACGTGTATTTTCATTATGTTCATTCTTTGCTCTGTGATTTCATCATTGACAAGAACAAGGGGAAAAGTGAATTAGGTTTTCACTCCATTTGCTTCATTTCCTCCCACTCATGTTTCTTTCCCTTTTTTTCTCTTTTATAGTTTGCTTTCTTATTTTTTGACATTTTTTGGACTTTTTTTCTGCAAATGTTTAGCATAAGCCCAAAAGGCATTCTTGGAAGGAAAAAGGAGCAAACATTGCCTCCTTTTCCTTCCCACAATGCCTTTTTACCATTGTGCAAAATCACCCATGCAGTATCAGCAATAAGGCTGATTTTGTAAAACCTGGAACTGGACGAGATACATTTTACGTTCAGTCAGCCCATTGAGAGAGCAAGAGTCAAGAAAATCTATCTGCCATTTTGGAAATCTGTTTGTTTTTTTTGTAAAAAAAAAAGGGTTTAAAGGGGGCCTTCTTACTCTCTTGAAAACCTTAAGCGATTTTCTTTTTCCTGGCCTAAATTTCAAAGTACCATACTGTGCATTATAGAGCCGTCGCGGTCTCCATGCTTAGTGCATTTTGTTTTGAGTAAACCTGCCCAGCTGCCCTGCCCTTTGTCCCTTTAAATTTCAGGAACTGAAATTGTAGCACTGTCTGGCCATTTCCAATTTTGAATTTGTTCATTTGTACCTTTTAACTGAAAATTTCTATTGGAAAGATGTTGAAGGCCAAGTACGTGTACTACAAAAGCTGTTGGCAAAGCAGTTGTAGTACACAAAAACAGCAATGTTACAGAGAGAGGAATATTTTTACTGAAAGGTCTTTGAAATTTGATTTACTCTTGATCTTTTGACTTTACTTACATTTTGTGGTATAATTATGGGTGGGGGAGATATCGTTTCCCAGCATGACCTCCTGGTGTCCCTCCTGCCCCCTCCTCTGCCCCCCCCTCCCTGCCTGTCCCCGTCCCGTTGGAATTTCAAAATTTCAAAACAAGCCAAAACAGTGTTGCCACACAGTGTACATTTGCAACAGTTTATTTGGTTTAGAAAAAAGGATTTCACCCCAGTAATGCTTCAACTGGAAAGGTTTGGGAACCCCAGCTCTAGTGGTGGGAAAGTTTGCCAAACTAGAAGTTCATTTGAGCAGCGAAGTCTGGGATGGGATGTTTGATTTATAAAAATGAACCCATGCATGGGAGATAATGGAACTGCAAGGTTGGTGTTTGATGGACTGGGATCATGTGATGTACATGTAATGTGCATTGTTCATCAGACAGAAACAGAGTGCTGGCTGAGTTGTAAAGGCTGAGTTGGCACGCTCACTGGGGAAACATCAATTCATTTTTCATCAAAGATGTGTAATGTAGCTGAAAATGCTTGCTTTATCAGAACACTATAACCAGTAAACCACAAAAGAAGTATCCAACAACAGATTCAAATTTTAGATCGAAAATATGTTTTAAGATATGATTGCTGAGTTTTGCTGAGTGGGTTGATATGCTGAGCTGTAATTTCTTGGCTGAAATGAGTCGTGGGTGTGTGACAGGCTTAGTTTTATAAAATAAGCCAGCTGTGTCAAGGTGGCACCGGGCTTTCGTTTGCACATGTTCACTCATCCTATGTTTAGCAATGGATTTTTTTACCACTGAAAAAAGGGGTGCGTGCACCTGCTCTGAATGAGACTGCATGCAAGTTCGGACCTGTGCATGAGCAGTGTTGCTGCCGCAGAAATGGCCTGTTTTGTTGTCATTATGGCCAAAGGATACTCGGACAGTGCAGCGGAACTTGCGTAGAAAAGGACTAGGATGAAGTCTATGGACAGCATCATCCTTGCTCATGCTTGGTGTGCATGGTTCTGTGCTCAGACACACCAAATGGCCCCGAGCCATGGCAGTCTCATGATGCAAACCCCATCTGGTTAAGTGATCACACCACACCATTACCATTGGGGCTGGTTGTCACTGTAATTCTTGGCACTAGAGGCTACCCACAGGGACCCCCTGCCAAGTTTTAATAAACATTTAGGGATGCCCTCAGAAAGAGCCTACATGGAGGTCAGTTCTGGAAGATCTGCTGCTTGCTCTATGGGAAGATCAAGTTTTGAAGGGTATGATTTTCTTCATTTCCTGGAAGAAAAGATGTTAGTGGCCTTGGCTTGTTTCCAAGATGTAGAAAAAAAGTTGACTTTGTTGAATCAGTTAATCTGAAAATCAATTCCCCTGAAACTTACATTGTAGTACAAGTAGTCGGTGACCTCGGTTATACTAAAAGAAAAGGAAAAAGTGAGGTTTGCTTGCAGGAAGTATTTCCATCTTGAAGTGACACCCCTTTCCTTGAAACTGTGAAACTTTTTTCAAGTTGAGAGATTCCCCCCCCATCAAACTGACCTTCAGATAGTTTCCCAGAACAGCTCCCCTGGGTGTATACATGTACTGTAACCAACCAATAATGCAAACAAACCCAGAGACACTTGGCATTGCCTGCGGCAAGAACAGAGAATAAGATTAAGAACACCACCTGGTTGGGAAAACCATACAGCGACAAACCCTACCCCCACTGTTTTCTTGCAAGACCTTATTTTCTGCCTCTCCTTTCTCTTGGGTGTCAAGAGTGAATTTCATCCCTTTGGTAAAGAAACCGGCACTCACTCAACACTGGTTTCTTTACATTTGGATCAATTTGTCACCTGGTGCACTTCCAGGTGTATAAATTCGCCTCTAATTGCAGTGACCTTTGACACAAATGTTGACAGAAAAGATAAACAAAATCAAGAGCCTTCATCCATACACCTTGTCATGACCAGGGTCCCGGGATTCAAATTTCAAAGCGGCCAGCTCTCATTCTCAACCAATAAAAACTTACCAGGAAAAAGTTAAAAGCTCTAGTTCTTCCAGGAAAGTTCAACGAAGCCTGGTGGTAAGTTGATTTATAAGATCCAACATGAAGGTCGGGAACTTCCAGTAGGGTAAGGTTTGACCACAAATGTTTCAACAAAATGGTGTGGTACTTTGATTGATTGGGTTCCTCCTTGGAGGTGCCAGAGCTTGAGTTGTGGAATTTTGTTGGGGATCAGAGAGTAAGCCACACTTCTTCCCTTCCAAACAAGAAACTTTGGCTGAGCTGTTCAGGAACCCAGCTGTTAGTCGCCGCTGTCACCAAATGGCCAAATATTTACAAGCTTTTGCTGTATCATCCCTGGCAAGTGGCGAGATATAAAAATTGTATTTAGTGTTGCTGTTAGTGTTTAAAAAAAAATGATGAAGTCTAGATTCTTTAATAGCTAATAACACTTCGGCAGTCGTTCATAGTTTGCCACCTTGAACCCACATGTAGCAGTTATGTTTTTTGCAAGCATACAGTGTAGGAAAATACCGTATGCATTTTGATGTGCATAAGTTTGCTGGATCAATTTGAAAACCATATGCTGAATTGTACAGCTCACTATTAGGCATGTAGCATTAAGACCAGTAGAAGATTTACATGTAAGTTCAATCTGGATACTTTTCAATGCGGTGTGAGACAGTCTGCCCCAAATTTTCACTCACGCTGGGTGGTTGTCAAATACCCGTAACTTGGTAGACGTTTGCCTCTCTTATGTGTGGGATCTTCAGTTCTGTCTCACATGGGAATCTGGAGCAATACTTCCATGAGGCAGGTTCACAAGGAGTGGAACTGTAGAGGTTGAAAAATCGCACTACCAGGCTGACTTGAGAAAGAAGGACCCAGTCTGAATAAGCCTTTTGCCAGCATATGCA